GTTCAGGGATGTGACAGCTTTGAAAAACAAGGCCAGTGCTCTTTGTGCACCACAATGTGTTTCTGTCTACAGAATGTGAATAATAATAATATTTTAACTCACAGAGACCTTCTGTAGAAGTTATTTTTCTTTGCTTTGAGAGCCCCAGATATTAAAATACGGCAAAAAATCCCTTTGTCTCTCTTTCTACATTTCTAATAGTGTGTCCTGGAAGAAGGAAGCTTGACTGTATAACCAGTTTGAATGAGCTTCAGACTATATGCCCATTCTTGCTCATGTTTTTCTGGCATTGAGAACAAATATGAAATCCATCTAAATATTTTAAAGGGAAAATTTCCCTTCCCTCCTTGTGAATTGTTAACTGCAGTAAAAGGTATTATAAAGATATTAAAAGCATTTAATACTGAGATTCCAGTAGCTGACTTGTGAATTTGTTATGCTTGGAGGGGTGGAGGAACAAAAGGTAGATAGAGAGAAGAAGAATTAGATGAGAGACAGGGAAGAAACGAATATATTGAGGACAGGTTAAATCTTTAAAGCTTTCAATGGCAAACTTTCTCTTCTTTATAGTCTACAACCTGCCTGATTTGGGAGGGCAGGGCATAATACTGTGTTATTATATCCAGCCCCTAGTCATCACAGGTAACTATGTTACATGTTTGGCTAAACGTAAATGGTCTCAATGAGACTGTCTAAATTTAACTGAGGACTTCTCCCTGTCTCATGATAAAGGATTCAGAAGAAACTGTACACCCAGAATGAAAGGAGGAAGTCATGACACTCAGCGTATTAGAAAGATAAGTTTGAGCATAAGTCATGACTGTGCAACTCTTTTTGATGTCTGTGAGAGCTATGTCCTATGGGTAGACTTATGGGAGCATCAGGGAGACAGGCTGCAGTATCACTGATCTTAGAACAATGTGAAAAATCATTAAGAGACTAGCTAGTACAGACTTAAACTAATGCAAATTGCATGGATAGAACAAGGGACAGAGAAGATAATTGTCAGCTTTAGTAAGTAAGCAACCCTGGTTAAGTAAATGTTTTGTGTTTGGTTGGTTGGTTGGTTTTTTTAATCAGATAAACACCTAGACAAAAGCATCGCATTTGAGAAGCTAAACTATAGGAAGTGATGGAAAAGAACTCAATTTTTGAAGAGGTCTCTCTAAAATTATCCAAGTAAAAAAAAGATTGTCTATGGCTTTAGTTTTATTGATCAACTAGTGATTGCAAATCAAAATAATATAAAAATGCTCTAATTATCAGTTTAATTAGTTCCCAAATATTTCATTTGTTGTAGTAGCAAGAATTAGAAGAAAATCTTAGATTTTTGAAAAGATTCCCCTTTGGGAAGGTATCATTGTGGTATATTTTTCTTGCAAATTGAAAGGCCTTCTCTTGTCAAGCATTAGTCTTCTCATATTTACTTTTGTAAGAGCACCAAAAGTAACTGTGCTTTGTCCATAGCTACCAAAGCCCTCATCACCTCACTGGACAGTCCTTAAAGGCAATAGTAGAGTGATTTTTATACTCTGCAAACATATGTGTAATAGAAGGAAATCACAGACCTGAAGAGTGACACGTATAGATAATGATCCTGTTGGACAAATTAGTCCTAAAGGCTTCTGTTCTGTGTGCCATTTCTCTTAAGACGATTTACAGGACATAGAGGTTACATGTGCTGGAGGAAGCTGTGGGATGGACTTGAGGTGGAACACTACCATATAGTGTGTTTCTGTGGTGTGATGGTTTGAGCTGAAATCAGTCAGTTGTCTTACTAATAGCTGGTGCAGTGCTGTGTTTTGAGTGTATGATGAGAATAACGTTGATAAAACACTGATGCTTTAGCAGTTGCCAAGTAATCGCTACACTAAGACAAGGACTTTTCAGCTTTACATGCCCTGCCAGTGAGAGGGCTGGGGAGGCACAAGGGAGGAAGGGAACACAGCCAGGACAACTGACCCCAACTGGCCATAGGGATGTTCTATACCATATGACATCACGTTCTGTATATAAACTGTGAGGAAGGCTGGCCAGGGGCCACTGCCCAGGAACCAGCTGGGCATTGGTTGGCAAATGCGAGCAATTGTATTGTGCATCACTTTTTTTGTATCTTCTAATTATTTTACTACTATTATTATTATTATTGTCCTTACCACCATGATTATTATTTCTTTACTTGTCTGTCGTAATAAACAGTCTTTATTTCAACCCATGAGTTTTCTTACTTTTACTCCTCTGATTCTCTCCTTCATCCCACTGTGAGGGAAGTGAGTGAGCAGCTGTGTGGGGCTTAGTCGCTGGCAGAGCTTAAGCCACGCCACATGGAAAAATGAGTAAAGTCATATGGTGAAAAGAAAATAAATCGGTCTGGGAAATTTGCCTCAACATGGGGAAAAAAATAAAAGTTGTCTTTAACTAAAACAAGATCCAGTAGGAAAACTGTTTAGACCAATTTCAGATGCCATAACTTGGCTGCTTTTGCTCCAGTACTGGCCTGCCCTGTCACATTACTATTCAAAATATTTTCAAGATCGCAGCTTGTTGAATTGAGTCCTGGAGTGCAGCCAGGTGGCCTCAATCAATGGGAAAGGGCAGTAGCACAAGAAAAAGTCACAGAGTAGGGGATAGAGAGGGAATGTGGCTCTTTGCCTAGGTGATATCCATCTCAGACAGAGCAATGGAGCAGGACATACCTGCGCAGCCACTGAGATATTTTGTCTCTCCCAGAGTCACAGGCCTTTTGCAAGGTCTGACAAACCAGCTACACTCACCTGCCTGTAATGTGGTGTTGTGCAGTGCTGAACTGAATAAGAGCACGTCTCCCCATGTTTTGCATTGTTGTCACACCTCCATACAGGCCCTCAAAAATAAACCAGTTGTGCCACCACAAAGGCAGATCCTTAATCATTGTCTCACTGAATCACTGATCTGATTCTGGAGGTCAGAATCTTCAAGTTATGGAAAGAAGTGCTGTCATTTGGTGTTTGTCATTATAAACTTCCTCATTCAGGCACATACATTCACCATGCACACATAAAGGCTGTTGTTTATATGAAGGCAGTTTATATGTTGTTTATAAAGGATTCCTGGAAATGCACCAGTACCTTGAGTTACATTGGGAGATTCCTGAGGTATATGTGGAAGTTAATGTGCTAGCTCTGAAGATATGCAGTGGGATATTTTGCATCAATGAAAGTTTTCTTAAGTCTTTCAGTTCCTGTCCAATGTCTTTCAAGGTAATAGTGTACCGTGTTTAGGCAGGTAGCTTTAATGGCAAACTTTTTGTCAAGACAGTGAGAGGCTGTTCCATGACAGGTACTCATTGGATTTCACTTTCATCTTTACAGCATTGCATTTATTTTTGTTGGCCACGTCCACTCCATGTCCTAGTTAGACGTAGCAAAGCTAAGTGACATTTTGAGTATATGGTAAGAATTTTGGAGGTAGGAGTGCTTATTTTCTTCAAAGTGGAATCTGAAGAGGTATAGAAATAAAAGAACAAAGATAAGCCCTGGTTTCTTCACTGGCAGATCCTGGTATCTTGTCCAAGATGTTTGCAATACGTCTTAGCCATACATCTAAGACATGGAGATGTGAGACTCTAAGATGTAAGACATCTAGAGATGTAAGACTCTCTAAGACTAGAGATGTGAGACAATTGACCTTTAAAACTGAGCCCTTAACAAGAGAATTTTCCTTCTGAATTTATTTTGCTTTCTTCGAAGTATTGCAACTTTATGAAGTATGGGTTTGGGTGGGGATTTTTGCATTTTAGAGACTACGAAGAAGAATTATATCCAAATTAATGGAGTTTAGTTATGATGATATAGCATTATATAAAACTAAATGCTTTTCTGTCCCTTGATTTCCTTATCCATAGATTAGATGTTAGAGGATATTTTGAGATGCTTAGGGATCTAAGAGGAGGAGGACTACATTTACGCTCAGGTTCAGTTCCCAGAATGAAGAACTGCCATGGAAGAAAGTTAGTTTAGAGAAATCCATGGTACAGCTGCTACACAAAACACAAGTTGCAAACTATGGTTTAGGAAATGAAGGGTAACACCTGTTGCTGAAGACTTAAATCCAAAGTTTTTAGATATTGCAGGAAGAGTAGGAGATAAGAGGGGTATCACCTATGTCCTAGGTTCTATGCCACTGTAGGACTGATTAAAAGTTGCAGGTGACAGAAGGAAAGAAGTAAATGGAGCACATCCCATGCTACGGAGAGCTACTGGTGTGCCATAGGGATTTGATCTGTGTGGGAAATTCTATCCCTGAATCTGGGTATCAAGTGAATTTTGAGGAGGTTTCCATCTTCCAGGAACTGAGAAGTCAGTACCAATAGAAGCTCCTACAGATCCCATTTGACATATTGTGTCTAACCACCTCTAGAGAAAGAAAGGCATCAGAGAAAGACAGCTACACAAACCACAACCACCCCTTCATTTGGTGCTCAGTGAAGCTAAGTTACAAAAGCTTTACGTCCTGCAGATGATCCTATCGTGCAGTTTTCCAGTCTTCCAACAATCCTTGAAAATACCCGTGAATTGGTTACTGAAGGATTTGTACTGCAGTTTAATTTAGATTAATTAATTAATCTTTGCTGGTTTAAATTACTATGATCCTTCAGTGGCTGGTGAATTCTTAATGCCTCCTCCTTTCTCGTTAGACTTAGCTCTTCAAAGCAGAGGGACTGTTTATGGCTGTCTGAGTATGACAGCCACATTTCTCTATGCAGACCTCAGAAACTTATAATAAGCACTACTAGAATTCAATATTGGATGAAAAAAATTACATTTTAAAATATTAAAATGTTTTACAGGTGATCTTTAGTCCCTGTACACTGTCTTGTTCTCTGCTAAATAATGCTGGAGAAGAGAATTCACTTATGTTACTGCTTGCTTACTTGTGGCCTGAACTTACAGTGCAGAGTCACAGTCTGGGTTTGTTTTTTTTTTTCTTTTCTTTTCTTTTTTTTTTCTTTGTCCTGACAGAAAGATTTCGGGATTTACTGCTTCTACATTCAAATCAAGATACAGAGATTCTGCCCATCTTTCAGCAGAGACGCTATCCCAAGTAAGTAAGACTGTCTTCTTGGGAGAAATAAAACCTTTATCTCTTTGCTGTGAGGGAGAGTGAAACATTTATAGCACTGCACATACTTTTGGTGTGAGGTCCTTAGACTGAGCTGTCAGGGAGCCACACTTGCACTATCTTTGCGGTCTTTTGAGTGGTGTTGGGGAGAGGCAGAGATGCTTTGGAAGCGTGACCGGCTGTCAGTGGGAAGGTGGTGATGGCAGAGCGCAGATGTTAAGTTGCCTGGATCAGTGTCTGATGGAGCTTTGTTTCACTGTTGACATAGGCAGGTGTTTTGTTAGGCTAATCCCCACTCTTACTTATGGGATTCCATCATTTATAGTGAAAGATTCCCATTTATTTTAACAGGCTTTCCTCTGAAAGGCTGCAAACACTAGAAAACATTTTTTTCAGCCTTTTTTAAGGGATAGATGTTTGCCTATATCCTTTTGTGGATATAGGCAAATGAAAAGAGTAGTGTTGTATGTTTAGGAGATCTTGAATATATTGAGTATCCTGGAAAATACCTCTTCTTTTTCCAAGTGACATACCTGAATGAAAAAATAAAAGCTCCTTGTTATTATGTTGGCTAGAAGAAGCAGTCACTTTCAGTTAAATCTTGAAAAGAAGCAGTGAAGGGGAAAGAAAAAGAAATGGTCCTCACATTGACCATGATCAGAGTTAGCAGTAAAAGAAGGCTAGTGCAGGATGGACAGAGGGAGGAGAAGGAAGAAAAAATATATGGTGCCAATCCCCCATCGATGATGGAAACAAGCAAATTATTTATTTTAGTTATCATTGTTTGGATGTTCCTGAAATAGATAAGAAGCCAGTGGAGCAAAGTGTTAAATATGTCTCTCAAAATCTGATAATACAATTTTTTTTAAGAGCAGGCAACAATTAGAGGGGCTGAGTGCTGAAAGCCAGACACCTCTTCAGTCACCTCTTTACTGTGAATACTTGAAAATAAAAGCACTCAAGGATGAAATCCTGATTCTGAAAATGGTGAAATTTTGCTTTGATTTCAATGGAGACAGGATTTTATCCTGCTAAATTAATGTGTTGTATGTTGTCACTGTTTTACTGGAATACTTGGAAGTACAATATATGAAACAGTGGGAGGCACTTTATGTGGATGGACTGGTCTACTTGTTGCACAAGGACTTCCATGAATTATTACTTTTCTTCTCATCCTTTGGAAACCTAGCAGTAGAATGCTTTGCTTGGCTTAGATGATTTCATTTTTTATATGGACACTGTCAGACAAGTCTGAGAACCTGGTTCATTGTCCTTCCTCAAAGAACAGACTTATTTCTACATAAATAATTTCTGACATTCTGACTTTCCATTTCATTTCATTAAATTTATTGCTAGCATTTTTGGCAAGTACAGTCTACTAACAGTATTACACATTGTCAGATTCATGTGTGAATGAGTATCTGCTGTCTTTTGCTTAAAGGGTGTTTCAGCTCTTTGAAGACTGTACAGCAAATAGCTTGTACGGAGCCCTGTAGCTGTTTGAAGTTACAGTAGCTTTGCATCACAAAAGGATATATGTTTTCATCCACATGGCATAATTGACTGATTCCTCTATTGTACAAAGTCAGCCAAATTTTGGTACCTAACTAAAAGAAAAGTTTAAGTTTGTTCTTAAAAGCAATAGATTTTTGTTTATAGTATCATTAACTGGTGAAAATTTGCTTGCTGGTTATATAAATTCATTATATATTATAGTTCTTTTAGAAACAGGTTGAAAACTATTGATGTGTCCAAATTTTTCAAGTGAAGTGCTCGTGTTCAGCAGGGTAGAAAACCTGCTCATCTTCATAATATATTTTGTCTTATTCCCATGTAAGTTTTTACCCTTCCCTATGCTCTTTCTCATTGAAAGGTTACTTAGAAATGAAAGTAGGGAAGAGACATATCATAAATCAGTGTCCCTTCACTGACTTCAGCTGATCAGTGGCTGGTTGTACTACATAAAAGTCTGAGCAGTAAGGTTGTTTTAATGAGATATTGTCAAGGGGCATGGGCTGTAGTTTGTAATGATTAGGGAAATCTTGTGAATGTAGAAGGTTAAAAATAGAAGGCAATTTTTAGTAATGACTTGGCTGAATGGCTTGACAAAGCAGGGCTTAGTAGGTAGAAAGGACAAAAGTTTTCATGTATTAAAGACATGTGCCCAAAAGAAAGAGATTGGATAGGAGAATGTTCAGTACCAGTCAGGATATTCAGAATCACCACAATAAATATTAAAGACTAAATGAGCAAACTCTAATCCATCAACTTTTGAAAGAAATAGAAACCTTGATGTTCTTGCCTGAATTATGTTCTTGTACATTTATTATATTAAGGCCTGAACTCTTTCCCAGGGAACAGCAGGATAATTCTGAGTGCATGTTTGTTCTCAGAAAAGATGTCTGTGCATTGGAATTTCTGGAAGAAGTTTTCTAGAATATGCATGGACATTGTTCTGGATTTTCTTGGGTAAATGTGTCAAGGAAACCCAATTTTCCCTCCTGGCTGATGCAGAAATGCAGGATCCTTTTGAAGTCCTTGTGTTTGCCTGAGTTTATTCTGATGGTCTTGGCCAAGGAGCAAATATCTACTATGGCAAGTAGAGGAGACATATAGAGGCCTGCGCTTACAAAGATTAAGCTTTTAAGGCCTCACGGCACATCACCTTGACTTCCTTGAGTTACTACTATGTATCCACAAGTAACATGGCATCATGAGCATCAGTTCTCACTGTGGCCTGGGGGCTGAGATGCAGTTCTTTGCCCGCACATGGGTACAGTACCCATCCAGACAGGCCAACCTGCACTATGCATCCTCTCACTTTTCTTCTCAAGGCTGCAGAGCAGAGGGAGCTTGGCTGTGTCTTATGTTTCAGTCATGCCTACAGTAGGATTTCTTAATGAAACACGCTGCGCTGCATGTAGGTACAGGGTACGGAACTAGCAAGACCAGTGTAATCCAGGCAAGTCTTTTTGATACAAGTGACTGATGTGGTTCAGAAATCAGATGTCACTCCCCCCTCATCCACCCACAGAGAGAAATATTTTGAGGGGAAAACCTGTCTCCTAGCTGACATGAAGCCATTACCATGTCTGTGAGGATTCACATTCCTGAAACTAAGAATAAGCCTACAGCTGTGAGCAACCAAGTGGGTTGGGGTGCATAGCTGCTTCTAAGCATAACTGCCTGGGAAGACCTTCTGTGTGCAAACTAAATTACAGACATACTTGTATCCTGTTCCTTCTCTCCCTCACTCCACAAGTGTGCTGAAGTAATTGATATGAATTACACCAGCAGTCAGGTTCTGTCAGCAAACTGAACTTTTTTAAATGAATCTTATCCCAACTCCTTACTTTGACAATGAGCATTCGGGCTTCTGTATCTCATAAAAAACTTTTCAGAATTTCACATTTAGCACATTTCTGCAGGAGCTGGTATCAAACTCATGCTTTTCTTGATTGCCCACTTTATTGATGACATTCCAAAATTTTTTTTTCATGGTTTTCACTCGTAAAATGCAAGAACTTCAGAGGTACAGCAAAGACTACACAGGATTCTTCTTGAAGAAGACACTATGCTCATTAATTTGGCTGTGGGGTCCAGCATATGAAGGTTGATTGGTGCTAGTAGCAGAGGCTTAGGTTGCTGCGTCCCATCAGGATCTTTGGTCTTTTCCTGCTGACTCCAGTCGGCTCCTGACTGCCTGTGCTGTGTGCGCAAGGAAGCATCAGTGAGACCTTTCTCTTGTAGTTGGGCCTGATAATGTCAAAAGAAAAAAAAAAAAAAAACAACAAACTCAAGAGAACAGAATGATAGAATGATACTGGAAGTGATAAAAGAAGCGTGAGAGTGAGAAATTAGGTTGGTGGGTGAAAAAGGCAGGAGAGAGGCTTACACTGCACAGAACAGCACTGGAGAGGAATGTGCCAAAAATTCTACTGGGGTTATAGGTATTTAGCAGTTTTCTCTGTCTATGAGTGATTTGACAGTTCAGCAGTACTTTATATTTTCAAGTTATTGCTGAAATCCTTGCATACATATATAGGTTTTTTAGAGGGATTATTTGCTTCTTTTTTTCCCCTCTTCAGAAATATTTGCAGTCTTCATTCTTCTCTTTTGTTCATTTGGTAGAAAAGTTTTTGTATGATTCACAAATCTTAAGATCAGAAGGAGCTGTTATGTTCCATTTAATTTGAGTCCCTTCTTAACATAAGCCAAAGACATCACCCAGTAATCCCTGCATCAAGTTTCTTGTTCAACCCTAAATTCTCAAGGAATTTAGAAAGTCATCCAGTCTTTATATTGAGATGTTAAAAAATGGGAAATTCACAAGCCTTTAGATCAGCACGTTTCAGTTGTCAATTATTTCACCTATGTATAACATAAATTTAACTTCAATTTCCAGTTTTTGCTATCTCACTGTACCATTTTCTGATGAACAAGAAAGTTCTGTACCATCTGAAGTGGCACCTCCATACAAGAGGTTGGAGATCACTTAAAAAACTTGCCCTTGACTTGAAAAAAAAAGAAAAAAAATTTTCTTCCAGGGTAAGACTTATTAAAAAGGTCTCTAAAAATTTTAAAACCTTCCCCAAAGTTTTCCCTTTTGTTAAAAAAAAAAAAAAAAAAACAAACCAAAACAATTCAAAACCAAACAAACCCCTCAAAAACAAACAAACAAAAAACAAACAGAAAACCCCCACCCAAACCCAACCAACCAAACAAGAAGAAACAGAGCAGAAAATAAGGAAGTATTTTGGTAATTGTTTCCATAATGTGCACATAGAGAAATAATATCACTTGTTTGTAGTCAAATAAGGAGACAATCTAAATTAATAAATTTAACTTTATAAAAAGCAAATATTATTTAAATAGGATGAAAAAGTCTTGAACTTAGGAGAAAAAAAAATGAACTTAGAACCAAGCAGGTATAATGAAAGGATATTCCAAATTCATTTGGTTTCCATCAGTCATAAAATTTC